CGCGTGAAAGTGGAACTTAATGAAGGCCTAAGTGCTTTTTCGTAACTTTTAGTTTTCGGATTAGAAAAATCATCGGTTGCAGGATAGTGTTACCGATTTATATTGGATAATCCAAAGCTATGTTGATCATTATAACATTAAATTTTGAATAACAAATGATAAGACAATCTTATTCAAATGTCGTAATAATACCTCTGACCAAGGAAAAATGATTTATATAGTTTTCATAAAAGTTGACGATACAAATACTAATGAGGAAAGGAATTCCGCATTTCCTTTTCCCAAGTCCTTTTCCTCTCCTTCCCTTCCCTTCTTCTCTTTTCAGAAAGCGAGTAATGGCGCTATAACCATATGCCATATAGGGCTAGGACAAGAGTTAGTGCTCAGGTCCCAACCGCTAGAAGAAAATGGTAGCGAGCAAGGGCGCTATAACCTAGGCGAATACAGCATTCCCTCCGTATAGGTTACGTCCGCACACCGCTCTCTGTTGTCCTTCGACTGAGGTCGGCTGGATCGATTGAGGGATGGCAGTGGGTTGGCGGTGCCGTCCACGCTTGTACGGAGGGAGGACTGTACGCTCGAACACAAGGGGTAAATACCTGTGTTCCATCCCAGGAGAGCGGACAACCAAGGAGTGTACATTAACTTTCTTAGCTCTGTCACTCCCAACGATTTATATACCCTATTTCCAAATCCTGCATACGGAGCGGTTGGTACGGTATGTCCCCGCTCTTTGATTACCTGTGGATTAAATGTTAACCACTGTCTATACTTATTAAGTAGACATGGTAAACATTCACTTCCACAAAAATTAACTAAACGCTACACAGTAGGCCTGGCCGCTTTATTGTTTGTTTCACATCCTTGATGTGCAGCAGGCATTAATAATGACAAGAAAATGATAGATGTATTTCTATCATTTCCAGGATTCTTTCAAGTACTGGCTGTGTATGTGTAGACTAGACTAGACTAGACTAGACAGACTGTAGTGGTAATTTTTATACGATAGATGGAGTAGATGAAAGCATAGAGTTGATAGTTCCGTTAGAGTACGGCAGTGTGAAGATTGCATATAGATATTAGAATAGAGAGCTAGAACAACTTTTATGGAAGGTACAAATCGGTTTTTTCATCTCTCTTTACCAAACTCCCCCTTTGGAGAGGGATGGTGAGGGGTGTCCCCCGTGGCTACCAAGCCTATGGGGATTTTCCTTATTAGAGAGTTGTATAGATTTTTCTCCTTTAGCTTACTTAAATCTTTGGTTTTTATTAGTTAGGTAGGTTCCGATTCAACACATTGTAGTTTCATTTTTATACCTATGATCTTGACTTTTTTTTACCTAGGGGATGAGTACTTAAGGGGGTTAGATTTTGATAAGTTCTTTAGTGCCCTAGCAGCACACTTGTCACTGAGTAGTTGTGGTAACTTGTATACAACTTATTTTAGTCACAATCAAATTGCAGCAACATATTATGATTAAAGTGTGTTGCTTGGGTGGAAATGACACTGATGAAGACTGCACATTGTAGTCGAAATACGTATCTGTCATGGATACCAAATTTAATTAAGTGGAATTAAATGGAAGATAACCTTTTTTTGCTGTTTTATTTAAACTAAAAGTGTTCCTATGGGCAATCCGCTTTCCTCATTTTTATGTGAATTGTTCATGGCTAACCTAGAAAATATTCTGGAGGATAGGAATTTTTTGCCGTGGTACGTGAATGACATTTTTAGCATTGTCAAAAGGGAAGATTTATCAAAAAATGTGAATGCCATAAGTAACACAAGGATATTCCTCTCATCATTAGGGAAACGTCTTCGCTCAATTTCGAAATCTATAAGAAACCAACAAATAAGGGGAATGGATGTAATGTCGGCCTAAATGCCCCTTATTTGGGTCCATACATAAATTCAGCAATCGAATAAATTTTCAATAGTGACCTAAAATATTCATAAGTACCGTCCCAATGACGCGTTCATCTAGATAAAATTGATAAATAGCAGATTTTTAGTGATAGGCCCAATCTTAGATCCATAGGACAACATTAGAGCCATTTCCCCTACAAAGAGAGTAATACCAAGCTCTTCAAACAATTCCCATCAACTTAAATAGCTCACATTTTTTAAATCACTAGACTTAATGGGTATCAAGAAAAAAACATTTCAGGCATTTAACATTCAATCGATAAAAGAACAAGGGCCATTTTAGGCGTAGTTCCTTCGACAATTCTTACACTAGTAACTTGTGTTTCTAATTGTGATGATGATGTGAAGATAGTGGTCTACACTCTTTGTAGCACGGAAACTAGTCCGATAGCTGTGGGCTCTGCTCGCTATTGAACTTGATCAAGCTTAATAACCTCTGATTGACATCAGCAAATCGCTGTATGAAGGGCCAAAAACGAAGGGATGGATTGATCGACAATTCGCCTAGTTATCTCCTTGAGACAGCAAAGAATCTCCTTCCAACAACTTGATCAGTCAATTGGTCAAAAAACGAGCCATCCAACAGGAAGATGCCCCAATGAATGGGAAGAAGAGTCCGCCCTTTATCCACGAAATGTTAGCAACAGGGAGTTGACATTTTCACTCTCCCCATCCAAATCGCTTCAATTGGGTGCTCTGGTGGTCCTTCCCCTTCCCAGCATTTATTGGGTCATGTAGTTTTAAATTTATATCTTGCAAATGCTGTAATTTTGGGAAAGTATATACAGTGACTTACCTTTGATGATGTGCATATACTTACCTATGATGATGCCCTAATGGATGCCTGCCGCCGTTGGTTGCTTCTTTTGAAATCTCTTGTACTCCCGGTTCGTATTTTAAAAGTCTTCCGATGTAATCCGATTGAATTTGTGGTACAGTACGATGGAAAAAGGATTCATCGCATATAAGTCGGAAATTTGCATTCTATACGATTTAACTTAAACACAATGCGGTATATGTCATACTTATATGGGATGTTGACTCAAACTGTAGTTATTTACGATATTATATGTACATTGTTATACGACTTCTGGTTGTCTGGGCAGTCGTAATATCGTCCGGAGGATCCGTCTGCTCCCACACCTGAACCCTACTTCGACCCATCAAACTCATGAACCGGGGACCAACGGCTTTACTTTCCTCGTGATCAGAGATTTTATGCTGCGGACTCAAAACCAGTCTGCGGCAGATCATGGTGGGAATTCAAAAGAAAGTCTGCAAGTGCATTTGAACGGCGTTGGTGTCATTTTGCAATTTTGAAAGTACAATGAAATACCTTCATTTTAACTAAATTTAATTTTTCTTACCTCAAATCAATCCCGAGGAACACCTGGTTTCATGTGTCCGAATTCAAAGTGGACCAGACTTTAGTTTGTGTGAAATCGATCTGCGCCGCAGAAAGGAAATGGAAATCTGATTTTCCAACCCCTATCTAGCACAACAAAAGAGCAATACTCTTCTCTTCACCCAAACGCTGCACTACGGCCAGTGAATCATAATATGGACATAAAAAAAGATGACTGTCAGAAGTGGGGTTCGAACCCACGCTCCCTTACGGGAACCAGAGCTTAAATCTGGCGCCTTAGACCGCTCGGCCATTCTGACCCGATGGAAGAGCAGTAATTATTACCAAACAAATCAGATAGTGAAGGTAATTTTACATTTCCGATCTGCCGACTTGCTGCTTCAGCGCAATGAATCCCATTAGGAATGAGATGTTTATCAGCTAGATTGAACAAATGATTCACCAACCGGTGCGGTTAAAGCAATTAAAGCGGTTCATTCCCAGTCCGACCCGATGGACTTTGGTTGGTTGAACTTATGATGAGTCCGATGCAAATCCAATCAACCAACAACAGTTAGAAGGAACAGGATATTGCATGATTACTGGTAGCTGCTAAATACCGTCAGTCACGCAATCGATTCGTGCCTCCACAAGAAACATGAAATCATGATCCAACTGATACGTGCTCTATTCGAGCCAATTGATTTCGAAAGCTTTCTGCAAGTTGAGTAAACATATGCTTTTGTGGCTGCCTTGCCTATTGAACTGAGTCTGTTCGTCTGGACTTTCGGAGGGTTTTTTGGTCGCGTAGCCAGCAGATGCTCACTGGTGGCGCATCGCGGTCATAAATAAAAGGTTTTTTGCTCGAAGTGTGAATTCCATTTCACGCCAGCTTGGTGCCTACATACCACCAACCGTTTTGTTGATTGGTGTTAGTTGATGTTTGTTGTTCTGTTTCGCAGTTATCTCAGCCACAATTGTTTTGTTTTTAATGAAGCACGTGTGGGACGTGAAATGGCTACTCTAAAAACGAAAAGCTATGAGTCGGTTTTTCCGTAAGTGGTAAAGTCCAAACCTGGAAGTGGCTGCCAGTGCGTGGGGAGCTGAAAACGGGATGCAAGAAAAGAAAACGGAAATTAGATTATCAGAAATACTCGGGGGATCCTTCACTGACTGCGGTTGAGCTAGCTGGGACTAGTGGGAAGAAACAGGCGGTTTGTTTTCGCTCTGTGGGATATAAATATGTTTCGCTGGAAATGGAAGCCGCAAGTGTGTGTTTGGTAACATAGGCAAACGATAATATTGGCTTAAGACCAAGAGTTACAAACTAGACGTTTGTGATGGTATCCCTTCACAACTTCGTGGTTTAGAATCTTCTGAACAGCCTTGAAACCACACCTACCAGCTCACTTTGCTCCCGTTATCTGTGGCAACCGGTCTTAATGAGATTTCCTTGCTCCACATTCTTCTCATTCAATTTTGTTTCACATATTCTCAGTTGTAACAGGTAAATGACTATAAATAAACCGAATTAATTGCTTTTCCCCTCATCCGTACATATGAATCATCCAACGAAAGGGTGTGAGAAACCAGTTACACCTGCTGCTGCCGCTGCTGCCACAACCAATTGGCACACAGGATTCCAAGTACTGCACGAAATGGCTCTCCAAGCAAAGCTGAAAGATTTTCCCAAAGTAATTATCCCTTTGATTTTGCCATCCCCCGTAGTATCTAGCGTGCCTTTCCACGTCGTCTTCCAACGATAAGCTATCGTTCGACGTCGGTCTGCAGGAGCACAGCCAAGGCGAAGCCTGCTGGTGGACGGTACACCCGGCGAGCAAGCAGCGTTCCGAGGGTGAGAAGGTCCGCGTCGGTGACGATCTGATTCTGGTCTCAGTAGCAACCGAACGTTACCTGGTACGTATCCCACAAGATAGGCGCGTTTTTAAAATTTGTGTTGACTGACGTTTGTCTATGCCACTTGTAGCACACCACCAAGGAGAATGACCTATCGATCGTCAACGCGAGTTTCCACGTTACGCACTGGAGCGTCCAGCCGTACGGCACCGGTATCTCACGCATGAAGTACGTCGGCTACGTCTTCGGTGGCGATGTGCTTCGGTTCTTCCACGGAGGTGACGAGTGTCTAACCATACCGAGTACGTGGGGACAGGAGACGGGACAAAAGTAAGTCTCCGATTGTTTTGGATAACTGGAACTGTTCATCTAACCATCAATTCTACTCCATAGCATGGTAGTCTACGAAGGCGGATCTGTGATGTCCCAGGCTCGGTCCCTGTGGCGACTGGAGCTGGCCCGTACCAAATGGGCTGGAGGGTTCATCAACTGGTCCCATCCAATGCGGATTCGTCATCTGACCACCGGTCGATATCTGGGTGTCAACGATAACAATGAGCTGATTCTGATGTCACGGGAGCAGGCTACTACCTCGCAGACAGCATTCGTACTACGTTCCGAAAAGGATGACCAGAAGGTGGTGCTTGAGGACAAGGATCTTGAGATAATCGGTGCACCGATCATCAAGTACGGTGACTCCACCGTCATCATGCAGCATCACGAGTCGGCGCTCTGGGTGAGCTACAAGAGCTACGAAACCAAGAAGAAGGGTGTCGGTAAGGTTGAGGAGAAACAAGCTGTCCTGCACGAGGAAGGTAAGATGGACGACGGGTTGGACTTTTCCCGCTCCCAAGAGGAGGAATCGAGAACTGCACGGGTCATCCGCAAGTGTAGCCATCTGTTCACCAAATTCATCGGGTATGGTTACCGAACTCAATTCACCAAAGCGGCTTATTCTAAAACAAAATCTTTCATTACAGTGGCCTTGAAACTCTGCAGGTGAACCGTCGGCATTCGTTCTTCCTGCAAACTATCAATCTCGGCGAAATGGTGATGTGCCTGGAGGATTTGATTAACTACTTTGCTCAGCCGGAAGATGACATGGAGCACGAGGAGCGCCAGAACAGGCTGCGAGCTTTACGAAACCGTCAGGATTTGTTCCAGGAGGAAGGTGTGTTGAACCTGATCCTGGAAGCGATCGACAAGATCAACATCATCTCCTCGCAAGGGTTCCTGGCGTCCTTCCTGGCAAGTGACGAAACCGGCCAAAGCTGGGAGATGATCTCCGGTTATCTGTACCAGCTGTTAGCCGCCATTATCCAGGGTAACCACACCAACTGTGCCCAGTTTGCCAACTCCAACCGTCTGAATTGGTTGTTCTCCCGGTTGGGATCGCAAGCCTCCAGCGAAGGTTCCGGTATGTTGGATGTACTGCATTGCGTTCTCATCGATTCTCCGGAAGCGTTGAACATGATGCGGGACGAACATATCAAGGTAATCATTTCGCTGTTGGAGAAGCACGGTCGAGATCCGAAAGTCTTGGATGTCCTGTGCTCGCTCTGCGTTGGTAACGGCGTAGCTGTGCGATCTTCTCAGAACAACATCTGCGATTTTTTGCTACCGGGAAAGAACCTGTTGCTACAGACCAGCTTGGTTGATCATGTGGCCAGTGTCCGACCGAACATTTTCGTAGGACGAGTTGAAGGGTCTGCCGTGTATCAAAAATGGTACTTTGAGGTGACCATGGATCATATCGAGCAAACTACGCACATGACCCCGCACTTGAGAATTGGTTGGGCCAATACGACCGGGTACGTGCCGTACCCAGGTGGTGGTGAGAAATGGGGAGGTAATGGAGTCGGTGATGACCTGTTCTCGTACGGTTACGATGGAATGTTCTTCTGGTCTGCTGGACGCAGAACACGGATAGTTTTCTCGGATAATACGGAGCCGTACATCAAGAAGAATGACGTGATCGGTTGTACGCTGGATCTGAGTGTTCCAGTGATTCGGTTTACGTTCAACGGAGAACCGGTGCATGGATGCTTTACGGATTTCAATCTGAATGGTATGTTCTTCCCTGTCATCAGCTGCTCGTCCAAATTGAGTTGCCGTTTTCTGTTCGGTGGTGATCATGGTCGTTTGAAGTTCAATCCTCCACCGGGATTCTCTCCACTGGTTCAGTGCCTTATGCCCCACCAGAACCTTAGCTTGGATCCGTGCTTCTATTTTGGTAATCTACACAAGAGCGTCCTAGCCGGTCCATGGATGGTGGAAGATGATAGCGCCTTCGTACCGAAGCCGGTGGATACTTCTACCGTTACGTTGCCAGCTTCCGTGGAAACGATCAAAGACAAGCTGGCGGAGAATATCCACGAGATGTGGGCCTTGAATAAAATTGAAGCCGGTTGGACCTGGGGTGAACGTCGTGATGACATGTACAGGATTCACCCTTGCTTGACGTCATTCGAGAAATTACCAGCTGCGGAGAAACGATACGATTGTCAACTGGCCGTCCAGACGCTGAAGACCATTCTTGCGTTGGGATACTACATATCAATGGATAAGCCTCCAGCGAGAATACGACCGATCCGTTTGCCGAACGATCCCTACATGCAGGGTAACGGATACAAACCAGCGCCACTGGATTTGAGCGCTGCCGTCCTGAATCCCAAGATGGAAGAGCTGATTGATCTGCTCGCTGAGAATACGCACAACCTGTGGGCTAAGGAACGTATCCAGCAGGGATGGACATACGGTCTGAACGAAGACAGCGAGAATCGACGCAGTCCACATCTGGTGCCCTACAGCAAGGTAGATGAAGCCATCAAGAAGGCGAACCGTGATACAGCTTCGGAAACTGTGCGGACTTTGTTGATCTATGGGTACAACCTGGATCCACCAACTGGAGAGGCTAACGAAGCCTTGGCTGCCGAAGCATTCCGGCAGAAGTTTTCCGCTTTCAGGACCTACCGCGCGGAGAAGAACTATGCCGTCACGTCCGGAAAGTGGTACTTTGAGTTTGAGGTGTTGACCGCTGGTCCGATGAGGGTTCGTTTACTAGATTGCGGAGTTGCGTCTTGATGGTCATTGAAGGTTCGTTTTTCTACAGGTCGGCTGGGCACGCGCAGATTGCAACCCCGGTACCATGCTGGGTAGTGATGACTCCTCGTGGGCTTTCGATGGCTACAATGTAAGTATTGCTTTCAAAACGGATTCCGATCATCCCAAAAAGAATCACATCACCATCCCTTCTACCTCGTGCACACTGTCTACCACAGCCAGTTTGATCAGAAGATACAGTACAAAATTTTAGCCCAGACATATTCTTCTACACGTTCATCATGAACCAAATCACTGCTATTTAGAATTCAGAGAACTAGACTAAATCTCAAACGTAAGTTTGTTTACCGACAACCTCCACTTCCATCCCTGTGACCTCCTATACCAACCTATTATGCCGCGTGCTTGATGGGCATTTCGGACTTTCCTGTAATACCACTTCTCTACTACCGCAACGCACGATTCGCGCCCGCGCGCTTTCTCCCTTTCTTGAGTAGGCACGTAAGCTACATCTGCACACGGTCGAAGATTTCGGTAAACGATACCAGGTCGGAGACGTCATCGGTTGCCTCATAAACGTCCACGAGAAGAGCATGAGTAAGCACAACCCCAGCCCAAAGTTTATGTTGAATAAAGAAATGGCGAAGGCTTCTTGATTTATGATAACTCTTCTTCTGTTATTAAATTGTTTATCTTCGTGTTCGTTCACAAAACAGTCGATTTGATACGTCGTCATCCCAGTAACCCTATGCCTCCGATCACCGCAGTAGGCTGACGATCAGTTGCGTGAGACTTCGACGACTCCTCTCGAGAGAAGGGTTACCATACCATGCTCTCGGATTCGTCGGATGCTCGCCTGACTTGCGCACTCTAATATATGTTGTTCGTTGTTTAGGAGCCAACACTTCGTCTCGTTCCACTTAAAACTGTTCTCTTTCTCTTTTCTTCTCTTTTCTCTCTCAATCTGTACTGAACACTGAATCTCAACCACGCCCACTGCGATCACAATCTACTCACACAAATCCGCATACACACAAAACCAACAACCACCAAACACTCTCATACCATAACTCGACACTCACGTCAACGATTGGCTAATCCGTATTTCAAAATCCTCTGAAAAAAAAATCAATTCCCTTGAAAATTTATAGGAAGAAAAAGTGTCTGGAGGTGCAACGGAATCATTCGGCAAACAGTGGGTACCTGGCGATATCGTTGGTGTATTTCTTGACTTAGTGGATCATACGATCAGTAAGAATCCTCAAATTTAGCCAAAACCGTAACCAAAACCTAAAACTGAAAGCAACTTGACAACCAAAACAGTCTTGCAAGCAAATTACTAAGTTTTTCAAACGCATCCAAGCAATCTCGTGGCAAAGCAAGCTGCAACCGCCTACTTTGCATCATATTTGTTTTCTATTATTACTATTTTTGACATTTAATCACCTTGTACGCTTTGGGAAGTATTGATCTTTCCGTCAGCAGAGTTTTGTTTGAAAGCAACATAAACATAATAACAAATCCAATAGTTAAGGCTGCCTTAGTTTTACCAGTAGTTTATGATAGTAGTGCCGATTGTTTTACTGTACAGATCATTCTGATTGGCCAGCGCTTTTTCTTTGGGTTTTCTTTTTTCTCTCTTTCGATTTATTTTGATTGGTTTGACATTTGCAAAACATCCCACTTTTGTTTACATCCACTCTGCACTTTTGACTGCCACTCACCTGCTCCAATTCTTCTGCAAATAGCGAGAAAAGTAGAAGAGAATGTAACCAAAAATTGATTTTGTTTGAATGCATGAAATTTTGATCATTTCCATAGCCCGAAACCCATCTCACAAATCGTGCTCATATCATTGGAAGTCATTAAAAACTCCAAATTAAACGTCATCCTTTTCGAAATTCCATCCCCACCGTAGTTGAACAAGAGTTTCAATGTGACGTCTAACAAACATTGTAAATACAAAGAAAATGACTACTTCAAGAAAATAATTCAGCTTTTGCCATCAACTAAATACGCTTATTTAGCTAACTTCGAAGGCAATTTTTGATTGAGCTAACAGCATGACTAACGCGAGAATTTATGACAATAGCTTCTGTTTGGTGTCTATCCCCTTTTGGACTTTCGAATTACAAGCAATGAACCTAACCTCACTTTCTGAACGTCCCACCAGGCTTCTCGTTGAACGGAGAACTGCTGATGGACGCCCTCGGCGGAGAAACCACCTTTGCCGATGTTAACGCTCCGGAAGGAGTCGGATTCGTACCGGCCTGTACCATTGGAGTGAGTTTTGCTAGTTTATTCCACTTGCTTATAATATCGATCAATACTGAATATTTGCCCCAAAAAAAACTCTCAGATCGGTCAGAAAGCCCGCGTCGTCTACGGCCAAGACGTCGACTCACTTAAATGGTTCACCACTTGCGGTCTGCAAGAGGGCTATGAACCCTTCTGCGTGTAAGTAATCTGCAAGGTCATGAACAATCAACCCTAACCTAAAACCTACACCTTCGCTCTCAGTAACATGAAACGCGCCGTTACGCACTGGTACACGAAGGATCAACCGATCTTCGAAAACAACGAAGACATCCCGGATTGTAAAATCGACGTCACCCGAATTCCGGGTGGTGCCGATACGCCGCCATGTCTGAAAATTTCGCACAACACCTTCGAAACGATGGAGAAGGCCAACTGGGAGTTCTTGCGTCTATCGCTTCCGGTTACCTGCGACGACACCTTCATCGAGTAAGTTTCCTCGGTCACTCAGCACTCAGCCAGATTCTTTTAAGCTCACTTACCCCTATTTCAGTGAAACGGAGAAGATGCACCGGTGGGAGGAGATCCGTATCCGCCAGCATCGTTTGCTGATGGAAACCGAACACCAAACCCAGCCAAGTGGTGCTCACATGGACCACATCATGAAGAGTGGCTTCACCATGAACGACCTCAAGGGTCTGCAGCGCAACTACTCCGAAGACGGTGTCGAGTCCGACGATGTCATGCGTCATGGACCACAGCGTCCGACGCGTGGTTCTCGCAGAGCGGAAGGCCTCAGTCCACCAGGAATCGAAATCAACGGTGAAATGCACATGTCCGATGCTGAAAACGCTTACTCAGATCACGAATTGGAGGACGATCGCAAGAAACGTGGCCGCAGTCCATTCCGACTGTTCGGAAAGAAACGCGACCAAAGCAAGGACAAGCTGAAGGATCGGCGCACACCAGAGCCGGATGCTCGCAAGGGAACTATGCAGCAACGTACAGTCGCCCGTAGTACGACGATGCGTTCTTCCAATGCCGATATCCGTGGTTCCGCCCAGATGGCTGCTGAACGTAAGTCTATGGGTAGCCCACAGGGAGTCGAGTCATTCGGAAACGAAGTCTACGATGCAGATTGCTTGAAGTTGATCAACGAATACTTCTACGGGGTTCGCATCTTCCCTGGTCAGGATCCGACCCATGTCTACGTCGGTTGGGTCACCACGCAGTACCACGTACATAGCAAAGAATTCAATCAGGACAAGGTTCGCCACGCTGCGATCTACGTCGAAGATGAAAACGAAAAGACCGTGGAAGTGTAAGTTCAGTTATCGGGATTGTATTGTATGTATCAAGAAGGTAACGCATATTTTCCAATTCCAGCGTCAATCGCCAATCGTGCTACATGGTCCGAGCAGACGAGCTGTTCAACGAAGTCTCGCAGGATGCCTCCGGCAAGGGAGCTTCCCAGGGAATGTTTGTTGGATGCTTCGTTGATACCGCCACCGGTACAATTCGCTTTACCTGCGAGGGTAAGGAAACTTCACACGTGTTCCTTATGGAACCGGAAACCAAACTGTTTCCAGCTATTTTTGTCGAAGCCACGAGCAAAGAAATACTCCAAATCGAACTAGGCCGTACGCCGACCACCCTACCCTTATCGGCTGCAGTTCTTCCAACTGGCGACAAACATATCAACCCACAGTTCCCACCCAGGTTGAAGGTTCAATGCTTGAAGCCCCACCAGTGGGCCCGTGTGCCAAACACTGCCTTGCAAGTGCATGCCCTTAAGCTGTCCGACATTCGTGGTTGGTCAATGCTTTGTGAAGACCCAGTATCCATGCTGGCTCTGCATATACCCGAAGAGGATCGCTGCATAGACATCCTCGAGTTGATCGAAATGGATCGACTGTTGTCGTTCCATTCTCACACGCTAACTCTCTACTCGGCTTTATGCTACCAATCCAACTACCGGGCAGCCCACGCGCTCTGCAATCACGTTGACCAGAAGCAGTTGCTGTACGCCATCCAATCGGAATACTTAAGCGGACCACTCCGTCTAGGATTCTGCGATCTACTGATCGCTCTCCATCTGGAATCCCATGCAAACACCATGTAAGCTAGGCGAACTGTAGTCCTCCATCAATCCAACGATAACTCATTTCCATTCACAGGGAGGTTTGTAAGAACGAATTCATCATCCCATTGGGTCCGGAACTGAAAGACCTATACTCGGACCCGGAGATGTGTCATTCGCTTAGATCCCTTCAAACCCTTTCCGTAAAACCCCAAATGAACATGACCGAGATTGCGTAAGTACATCCACCCCAACGAAGCAGTAAAATGTGATCTACTCTAACCCCGTCTGAACTAATCCCCGAGTGATGAGTGTGGATAGGTGTACTTTTGTAGGCACAGCTATTCATCGTATAGCACAATGCTCCTAACCCTCGTAGAAGAACACTAACCTCCACCAGATAGCAGCACTTTGTCGCTTCTTATTTGTTACCTCCCGTCACTCTCTGTGTAGTATAGAAGTGCAAATGTCTAGTTGGACATTTCAAAAGGTCCTATCTGCGATGATCGATTCTCTTCATCAACTTTAACGACCTTCTTCGATTTGTATGAGAAGGATTAGTAATTTCCATTTAATTCCACTACCTTTTGTGTAATTGTTTGGTTTGGGTGTCCATAGTTTAAACATTCCAAACAATTTAATTTTTCATGAGATTTTTTTATTTTATTTCAAACATCGGAAAAGGACACTTTAATATATATTATTTTAAGGTTTAAGGAATTTGAGTTTTTTTTTATTTTTACATGGAATTGTTAAGTACATTTGTTTGTATATTTTTCTCACAAATACATTATTTTGCTCTACAACTTTGTCTCAGACGTCATTTCAATCAGAAGTGCCGTTTTCTTGCTTCATTTTTTTGAAAAAAATCAAGGAAGCCAGTTTGAATATTTTACAAATTTAAAATGGCCGAATTTTAACAGAAATGAGAATCCTAGCCCATAACAAACAATTATGCAAAGTTTCATGCAATCCCGAAAAGGTCGAGTTTTTCCGATTCTTCATTTGGCGTGGAATTGCTCTATTCATAAGTACGGCTATGCGAACACATTGTGTGATTTTCGCCACACTTATTTTCCAGTGCCCAAAACGTCAAACACAACTCTGGGACTGAAGCTGAGTTATTGCGGTAAAAGAAAGTCTACGGATAGAATCAAACGATGCAGATCGGACCTATTGAAACGTTCATCCAGCTACGTCTACGTCTAGCTCTTATACTTTTATTAGTTGTCCCCGACCCCCGTTTTTGTTCTCTACATTTTGGGCATGCCATTTTCTCCCCTCCAGATCACCCACACCCCCACAATCGAATTTGCCAACAATAGTAGCACCAGATTCTTCCAGTGAACCGATTCCGGCAATTGATTCGCTTTATTCGCCAAGATTCCCGCTCCAAGTGGTGCGGGAGTTTGTTATGACCGCCCTGAAGGAGGCGGTCGAGATCAATCAGGTACACAACCGTGATCCGATCGGAGGTTCCAACGAGAACCTGTTCCTGTGAGTATTTCAGCCAATCGGGAATTCCGTCCGGAGGTGAATTAACGAACGCCACATTTCTAGGCCGCTGATTAAGCTGATCGACAGATTGCTGTTGGTCGGCGTGATCATCAACGAAGACGTCGAGAAGCTGCTGATCATGATCGATCCCGAGACGTGGGATCCTGCATTCGTGAAGGAAGGTAAGGATGAACATCGTAAGGGTCTGCTGACGATGAAGATGGCCGAAGGTGCCAAGCTTCAAATGTGCTATCTGCTACATCATCTGTACGACGTCCAGTTGCGGCACAGAACGGAAAGCATCGTTGCTTTCGCCTACGATTATGTGTGCGATTTACAACAGGATCAGCTAAGAAGGTTAGTCAATCCATCAGCTCTTGTCATCTGAATATTCAAACGACACACGACTCCCCATTTACAGATACGTCGAGATCAAACAATCGGACATGCCGAGTGCTGTAGCGGCCAAGAAGACCCGTGAATTCCGTTGTCCACCACGAGAACAGATGAACGCCATTCTGTGTTTCAAGAACCTGGAAGGTGAAGATTTGGAGAACGGCTCATGCGGACCTGAACTACGCGATCGTTTGATAGAGTTCCATGACAAGCTGATGGGCAAAGTTTCTCTGAACGCACTGCAGGAACCGGAGGAGGAATCCACCGATGCCACAGAAGACACCAAACCGGGAGCTTTGAAGAAGTTGTACAATTTTATCAACGCCGTCAAGGAGTTGGAGGAGGATCCCAAAGAACCCGAAGAGGTTGAGAAGAAAACTCCGGAAGAAATCTTCCGAAAGGTGCTCATCAAGCAGATCGTCTCCTGGGCGGAGGAATCTCAAATTGAAAACCCCAAACTGGTTCGTGAGATGTTCGGCCTGTTGGTCAGACAGTACGATACGATCGGTGAACTGATCAGTGCTATGAACAAAACGTATGTCATCAACTCCAAGACAACTGCCGATGTTGCAAACATGTGGATCGGCTTGAGTCAGATCCGTGCCCTCTTGCCAGTGCAGATGAGCCAAGAGGAAGAGGAATTGATGCGCAAACGTTTGTGGAAGTTGGTTAACAACCATACGTTCTTCCAGCATCCGGATTTGATTCGTATCTTGAGAGTGCACGAGAACGTCATGGCTGTAATGATGAACACTCTGGGTCGACGCGCTCAGGCTCAAAGCGACGCACCTGTACAGTCCAGTGAGGGTGAGGAGACACCGCCGAAGGAGAAGGATACCTCTCATCAGATGGTCGTGGCTTGCTGTCGCTTCCTGTGTTACTTCTGTCGCACAGGTCGTCAAAATCAGCGAGCTATGTTCGATCACTTCGACTTCTTGCTGGAAAACTCCAACATCTTGCTGTCCAGGCCTAGCCTTCGAGGTTCCACTCCACTGGACGTAGCATACTCCAGTTTGATGGAGAACACCGAGCTCGCCCTGGCTCTTCGCGAACACTATTTGGAGAAGATCGCCGTCTATCTATCTCGTTGCGGTTTGCAAAGCAATTCCGAGTTGATTGAACGTGGCTATCCGGATCTTGGTTGGGATCCCGTGGAAGGTGAACGTTATCTGGACTTCCTGCGATTCTGCGTGTGGGTCAACGGTGAAAGCGTCGAGGAGAATGCCAATCTGGTCATTCGTTTGCTCATTCGACGTCCAGAATGCTTGGGTCCTGCGCTTCGTGGTGAAGGTGAAGGTCTGCTGAAAGCCATCATAGACGCCAACAAGATGTCCGAGAAGATTGCCGAGTGTCGAAAGATGCACGATGATGCAGAAGGTATGGTCACTAGCTTGGGTTTCTCGCATCCACTTCCGGAGGGAGATGATGACGAGGACTACATCGATACCGGAGCTGCTATGCTGTGCTTCTACTGTACGCTGGTGGATCTGCTGGGCCGTTGCGCACCGGATGCATCGGTTATCGAGCAAGGCAAGAACGAATCACTGCGAGCTCGTGCCATTCTGCGTTCCCTGGTACCACTGGAAGATCTCCAGGGTGTTCTGGGTCTGAAGTTTACCCTAATAAATCCCGCTGACGGTGAAGAGAGACCAAAATCGGACATGCCATCTGGGTTGGTTCCTGGACACAAACAGAGTGTGGTACTTTTCTTGGAGCGTGTCTATGGAATTGAAACGCAGGAATTGTACTATCGTCTATTGGAAGATTCTTTCCTGCCGGATCTGCGAGCAGCTACCATTCTGGATCGTAGTGACGGTTCCGAAAGCGACATGGCATTGTCTATGAATCGCTACATCGGTAACTCCATTCTGCCTTTGCTCATCAAACACTCCAAGTTCTACAACGAAGCTGAAAACTATGCCAGCTTGCTGGACGCCACCCTGCACACCGTCTACCGAATGTCCAAGAATCGCATGCTTACCAAGGGACAGCGTGAGGCAGTTTCCGACTTCTTGGTCGCACTGACCTCGGCCATGCATCCAGCTATGTTGTTGAAACTTCTGCGAAAGCTCACCGTCGATGTCTCCAAACTGTCCGAGTATACTACCGTCGCACTGCGGCTGTTGACGCTGCACTATGATCGCTGTGCCAAGTACTACGGAACGACCGGCAGTGGTCAAGCGTCACAATTCGGAGCTTCCTCGGACGAAGAGAAGCGTCTCACTATGCTGCTGTTCTCGAACATCTTCGATTCGCTTAGTAACATGGACTACGATCCGGAGCTGTTCGGTAAAGCACTGCCTTGCCTGATCGCCATCGGTTGCGCTCTTCCACCGGACTACAGTTTGTCGAAGACATCCGAAGATGATATGTATGGTAAGTCAACGAGCAGTCCTGATCAACCGCACTACAACCCACAACCGATCGATACCACCGTGGTACAGTTGAGAAACGACTTGAACCAGATAACCCAGAAGTTCAGCGAACACTATCACGATGCCTGGGCTAGCAAGAAGTTCGAGAACGGTTGGAGCTACGGAGAACAGTGGTCTGATTCCAACAAGACCCACCCGCGTCTCAAACCGTACAACATGCTCACAGAATACGTAAGTAGTTCACGAATATGCGAAATGTCGATGGCTAATCTAATTGATGGATCGTTTCAGGAGAAGGAACGTTACAGGGAACCAGTCCGTGAGAGCTTAAAGGCGCTGCTTGCTCTAAACTGGCGCGTCGAACACTCCGAAGGTGACGTCCCGCTTTCCAATCGCGGATCCATGCGTAGACAGTCCAAGCCGAATCTTGTAAGTAATGTAGTGATCCCCTGTTTACTAACCGTTGACATTATAACTTAACCCCAAAAATTCGCAATCAAAATTGACCCTTTTAACTCTGTTTTTGATCTGACCTGCAAACACGATTGGCAAATTATTCGTTTCACCCAATGCCCTCACCTCATGTAACTGTGGAACAAAATACGTCTGGTCCTTGTGTGCGTAACTCTGTATGCGATCGCTGCCCAATTAACGCTCAAAGGAATTACAGGGAGATACAGGTTCGCCGTTCAACTACAACCCGCATCCTGTCGACATGACCAACCTGACGCTGAGCAGGGAAATGCAGAACATGGCCGAACGGTTGGCCGAGAATTCGCATGATATCTGGGCCAAGAAGAAGTTCGAAGAGCTAAACCAGTGTGGTGGCGCTATTCATGCTCAGCTGGTGCCGTATGATCTGTTGACCGACAAGGAGAAGCGCAAGGATCGTGAACGCTCACAAGAGTTCCTGAAGTATTTGCAGTATCAGGGTCTGAAGTTGCACAAGTAAGTTTGCGTGATAGCTTGAAGTTTTCGGGAAGTAACCTGACTTCTATCTTTGCAGACCATCGCGCGGAATGACCGAGGAGCCGGGAGTTACCGCCGCAGCCATCGAGGCTCGTTTCGCTTATTCGCTGTTGGAGAAGTTGATTTCGTACATCGATCGTGCCACGATTAACATGAAGCTGCTGAGGCCTTCTACGACCTTCAGTCGACGGTCCTCTTTCAAGACCTGCTCAAGAGATATCAAGTTCTTCTCGAAGGTCGTGCTGCCGTTGATTGAGAAGTACTTCTCTTCGAATCGTAACTACTTCATTGCGATCGCTACGGCCACGAACAATGTGGGAGCAGCATCGCTGAAGGAAAAGGAAATGGTAGCCGCACTGTTCACCAAGCTGGCTAGCTTGCTGCGATACCGTATGGCTGCTTTTGGAGCCGATGTGAGGATCACCGTTCGCTGTCTGCAGGTGCTGGTCAAGGGCATTGACGCCAAATCGTTGACGAAGAACTGCCCGGAGTTTATCCGTACGTCTATGCTGACGTTCTTCAACAATACATCCGATGACTTGGGACAGACGATCTTCAACCTGCAGGAAGGAAAGTACGATCGCCTGCGCGGTACTCATCTGAAGACGTCCACGTCGCTGGCGTACGTTAATCAGGTTATACTGCCGGTGTTGACGGCGTTGTTTGATCATCTGGCTGCTTGTGATTATGGCAGTGATCTGCTCCGTAAGTATTATTTGAGATCCGGCTTTGGTGGACTTATTGAACTAGTTGGTATCTTTTGCAGTGGACGAAATCCAAGTAGCATCCTACAAAATTCTGTCATCGCTGTATAATCTTGGAACTGATGCGAACCTCACGCGGGACCGTAAGTATCTGAAGACCGAAATCGAACGGCATAAGCCTGCTTTGGGTTCTTGTTTGGGAGCGTTCAGCTCTTGCTTCCCGGTTGCCTTCCTGGAACCGCACTGCAACAAACACAATCCGTTCTCGCTGCTGAATCGCATCGCCGATACCTCCCTGGAAGCTCAGGATATCATGACCAAGATGGAGAGTTCGATGCCAACTTTGGAGACGATCCTTTCAGAGGTGGATCACTTTGTCGAGTCGGAAAAGACTTACCAAGACGCTCAACATATCATTGACGTTATTCTACCGTTGCTATGCTCGTATCTACCGTTCTGGTGGAACCAAGGTCCGGATAACGTTAGCCCGCAGTCTGGAAACCATGTAACTATGGTCACTGCCGAACATATGAATCTTCTACTGAAGAACGTTCTGAAGATGATCAAGAAGAACATTGCCAACGAAAATGCACCCTGGATGACCCGTATTGCTAGCTTCACTCAGCAGATCATCATAAACAGCTCCGAAGAGTTGCTGAAGGGTGTCTTCCTACCGTTGGCTGAACGTGCGAAAAAGCGAGTCGACAGCATGTTCCACAAAGAGGAAAGCTTACGAGGTTTCCTGAAGTCTTCCACGGATGACACGTCCCAAATTGAAGCCCAGATTCAGGAAGACTGGCAACTACTGGTTCGCGATATCTACTCCTTCTATCCACTGCTGATCAAGTACGTTGATCTACAGAAGAATCACTGGCTGAAGGATAACATTGCCGAGGCGGAAGAGCTGTACAACTACGTTGCCGAAATCTTCAACGTTTGGTCAAAGAGTCAGTACTTCCTGAAGGAAGAGCAGAACTTTATCTCTGCCAATGAAATCGATAATATGGCACTGATTATGCCGACTGCCACCCGTCGTACGGCTGCCGTCTCTGGAGACGCTCCAGCAGCCGGAGGTAAGGTCAAGAAGAAGAAGCGTGCGCGCGACAAGAAGCGTGACAAGGACAAGGAAATCCAGTCCAGCTTGATGGTGGCCTGCCTGAAGCGTTTGCTACCGGTTGGCTTGAACCTGTTTGCCGGTAAGGAGCAGGAACTGGTGCAGCACTGTAAGGATCGCTATCTGAAGGTGAGTTGGGTTGGGATTAGCTGAGAGTTATCTTCTATGGAATAATTGCTGTTTCCAGAAAATGCCCGAATATGAAGTGATGGAGTTCGCTCATACTCAGCTGACGCTTCCGGACAAGCTAGACCCGGCGGATGAAATGTCTTGGCAGCACTATTTATACTCCAAGCTGGGCAAGAAGGAGGACACCGCCATCCAGGAATTGGTTGAGAAGACCGATAAGAAGCAGGGCAACAAGATCGAGGACACGGTCGAACGAATCGTCGCCATGGCCAAGGTCCTCTACGGATTGCACATGGTAAGTGTTCCGATTGGTCCAATTCCGACCCCTTCTCGTTATATGAAAACTCTCAGTCCATACATCACTTCATCAGAAAGTCGAAAATCGAATCGATTGAATCAGACATCTACATCTACATTGCTAGCCGTTAAGAAAAATCTATTTTTTGAAATCAAAACCCAAAGAAAATTCACCATTTTCTAAAGTACACTACTATATTATTTCCGGTATTACATCTAGATTGACCATCCACAACAACAAAGTAAAAATGTTTATAGAAGTTGTGTATCGATACAGAGAAAACGGGCGGTTATTGCTTGTTTCAGACATGTCTCCTTACATTCACTGCCAAGGTTTATAGTTTATTATTTTGTTGCTCGAAAAAACTACCTTAATTCTATTTGTTTTTTTTTCTTTTTTGTGAGTTCTGTTTTTATCACATTCACTGCCGTATTGCCAAGAAGAGGATTGTTTGAAACTTTAATCTTCTCTCGAATTACCATTAATGCATAAACAAAAAGACAACTAGTTTAGTTTCTCTCACACTTCTTTTCCAAAACTAACACGTACTGAAACCGTTCAGCCAAGAATGCAAAATTCACCAAATCCCACATTACGTTCCTCTTCACTGGCATTTTCCTGCATCGAGTTTCCCCCTTTTGGTAGTTGACTCGTAGCATAAAACCAATCAAACCTACTAACACCAACCATCGATTGGCCCCGAAGCATCAACATGTCCCTAACCTAGAAACCCACCCCAACATGTTCTAACAATAGTTGAAATTTATTTCCCAAAAACTAATGAAAAATCCAGAATAGAAGCGGCTACCTATCACTCCCTTTCTCAAAAAAAAAGTACCTAAATCTAGCCACTAGCACTTACTACTCCGTCACCAACTGTTTAGTACAATTTTCCAGAGAATAGTTGAACACATTCTAGGAAAATTCTGGATCCAGTTATGACTGCACGTGCAAATTTACCTAGCTCTATCTTCTCTCGCGCAAAATACCTCATTCTATCTATCTATCTATCTATCTATCAATCTTTAAATCAGAACACTCCACCAGCGGCAGAATGGCATCTAACTTTGCACTTGACTCGAACCTACTACTACTATTCTCACTTATTTCCATAACTTTGCAACTGTTGTTTACCTGTTTTCTTTTGAATAACAGAACCTTCTTGCTCTCCGTTCAAGACAATTCCAACTGCTCACTCTATAATGGCATAAAAGCAAAGAACAGATTTACTAAAAAGCATCGAATCAAAGCTAAATTGTGGAATTGTTGATGTTTAGCTATTAATTAACATATATGTATTGGTGATATTGGCGCAGTAATTGTAACATTTAATTTAGTGTGGTTCATTAATCAAATGAGGCGTGGGGGAAAAGTCTTAAAATCGTCGAATAATTTTTCCAACACGGATAGGGCTGAACTCTAATAAAAATGGATTCAAGGATCCTAAGGATGTTTGTGGTCCATTAAAGCACGCTGTGTAACTAATTGGCGTATTTTAGAAACTACACAAATGTATTTCGTATGATCTCACACGATATAACATAGACTTAGAAGTATTCTCTGGATGTAAGATTTAGAAACATTGGAAAAACTTTATAATCCTTAACATTGAAAAATCAAAATCTTTGACTTTAAAAAAAAGTCCGTGCAGCAGGGGATTGATTATCGATTTTAAATAAAACTGGAAAACTTACATTCAGAATAAACAAATCAAGACCAGGAACAAATTCTTGGCTCCCGGACATGATTCAGACTTGATAAATCTCATCAAATTTCAGGGGATCCGAAATAAGATAGCCTCGAGTGAGTGGCGGCAGGGATAATATAAAACCAAATACACGGTTGTTTCAATTCACCCCCGACGAGCTGGTGATCGATGTTCATGTGACTAGAATGCGAATATAAAAAAAACTGGGCATAGTTCAGTGTGTCTCAATCCAGGTCAGAGTGTCGACTCAATGGTGTAAAAGTAAATTGCCTGATATGCCCTGATTTTCCAGCCACTGTTCTGAAAAAAAAAATCCAGACAGGGTTGGAATAATAGAATTAAAGGAAATCAAAAAATAAATTAAGCTCACTGATTAATACTACTACAGGTGTGATACTAGACTTTACTGGAAAATTTACAACTGTATGGTTTAGTTAAAAATTAAATGATTAAGCTCTTCGCCCATTAATAGGCATAGTTTTTGACGTAGGACTAAGTCTGTGATTTTTATATGGGCGTACACTTTGTGAAAACCGAAAATGGAACATGTAACGAAATAATGAAAGATTTTGATCGTTAATACCTCAGCTGCCCCTGGAAAATTTCAATAATTCTACGCATCTATTAAATTTAAGACGTTATCAGTTTTCAAAATGTCACTATTGAAAATTTCACGAATGTGCAACTGTTGCTTTGAGCACCGATTGCCTGTGAAAAGTGATTTCCCTAACACAGATTTCAAAGTTGAATTCCATCCGGTCTAACCAAACGGTGTTTATTCAATCACAGCGTGGTGAGTGGTGGTGTTCTCCAGTATACAACGAAGGGCTGTCTGGAAGCAACGAGTAGCAGCCCACATGAGCATCCAAATAAAGAAGAAGAAGCCGCACCGCTATTGATCGGAATCAGTAGGTCTTCGTGAGTTGCTGTGGGCCAACTATGCCAAGCGCGTCATACTAAAGAGTATAAACAGAGAGAACCTCGCTCAAATGCCTATTCCTACGCAAAACACAAGCTCCTGCTGCAGTTAACAAATAAGATTTGTTATATAAGACCACGTAGTTCTACGTCACCATTGCGTACAACCCCACAGGGCTGTCCCTTGTAGTCATTTTTTAGATGTGGAAGTTCCTATTGGCCCTAAAATACAGGAAACCTTTGTTTCTATTTCAATAACACCAGCGATATCTGTTGCAAACATAAACCATGCTTTTGATCCATTGAAAACATATGAAAATCCACCATGTTTCGAGCAAAACTCCCATACTGCAGTTATAGAAACTCCACTAGAACACCTGCCTTATAGAAACCCATTAAAAAATTTTAGATTAATAAGTTTGAAATATTAGCTGAAAGACCATGCTACCAACCGATGAACACTCGTGTTTATTTCAGTTACCGTGGGGACGTAATTTGTGATTAGCCCCGGTCCCTTTCAAATTGTATCATTATTTATGTACGGTCCTTATATTTCAAATGACGTTTCACATTCATCTAGGGATGGCCAATTTTCATTCGAATAATTGATTAATCGATTAACGAACCGAAAGTAAAATATTTGTAATCGGTTATATCGTGCCGATATAAGCATTAACATCTCCATAGGATCATCACCACCGATCGTTTCAAACATGTGCTGCACTCTCATTGGTTGAAAAATGGCAGTACAGCGAACAAAAAATAATCGATTAGTTGTTAATCGAGTAATTAAAAGATGGAACACTTCTGATTTTGGTGTGATTGTTTTGATAAAAATGAGCGCAAAATTTCATCTCTACCAAGAGGGCAGCAAAACCACAAAATTACCTTGACTACGGGGGGCATTCATTGGATGAAAAGGACCGTGAAAGAGGACACTAAAATAGGAAGTTTTTCTTTCGACAGTTTCATCTTAGTGTTCATCTTTGATGCTACACTGATATTCGTATTATTCTTCAAAATTTGATAGTTGTTATGGGAATAAATATTACAACAAATAACAAAATCAAATAAATTTAAATATTTCTGAACAAAACGGTAGATATCTAAAATCTACAATCATGTTTTGATCATAAAGTATGTTTTTAATGCTTTGAGAATTCAACTTCAGGATCTTAAAAAAATATAAAACTCGGGATCTTGGTGAGTTAAATTTGTTTTAACATTTTAATGCTTACGAATATTGGAAATTTGCACAAATCCTGAATCGATGTTCTAAAGTCCTACAACTCATTTTTTTTTGTTTGGGTTGTAGAAGCCGATCATTTTTTTGCAAATCCGGGATCTCAATTTATTATATTTAATAATAAAAGTAACATCAAAAATGTCTTAAAAGAATCTTGAAAATATTTCTTAGTATAGAACCTAGAAAGTACCGGATCATAAAAAAAAAATGAAAATTGAGGATAGTGAACATTTTTCTTAATTGGATTTTTTTATAAATTACCCGTGATTTTGTTTTCAATGCAGGGATCTTGATTTGAAAGTTTGTTTTACACTGGGTCTTAATTTTTTTTCATGTTCCAAGATCTTAATTAAACTGTTTCCAAATTCAAGATCCGATAACTTCCAAATGACCCGCAAGCTTCGTTTTTGTTTTAAGACTTAAACAAAACTTAATTCAAAATTAGAATCAAAGTCATGAGTACGAAATGCAAATCTTTCTGGATTAGAATATAAAAAGTATTAATAAATCCGGAATCCATAAAATCTCAAATGATCCACAATCATATGTCATATAAACCTTGGATTTTGACAAAAAGCTAAGTTCGCAATCTTAAAGATTTTCCCAACTACGAAACCTTGTGAGATGGACCAACCTGCACTTAACCATCTGTGAAGACAGTAGTAAAAGAGAAAAAGAAGTACAAACCCTTGAAACTGAAATACTTCCCAAAACCTAGAAGAAATGGTTCATGTCTTGGATCTCTAAAAAATGATTCGTTTCCAAAGAACTTTTTCCTGGATTTAAATTGTTTAAGTCGAAGCCTTCTTAAAAAAGTCATTATTTCACTTTCCTATTTACATGATTGGTGATATTATAGTTTGTAATGCAATTATGAATTAGGGTTGACAAATATTTCCCTGAATTTAAGGAAAACTCCCTGAGATTACCTGAGTTTCTAGGTTAAAAATTTAATTCCCTGAGATTCCCTGATTTTCTACGATTTCCCAGGTAGTTTATTATTTTTTAGTATAATTTTGCTTAAATTAGAACCAATTTGTTTTAATTTTTTTCACTCGTTACAACGACTTCTATTTTAAATTATAAAAAAGTTACTCAAAATTTAAACTTATTTTCAGCCAAACTGATTCAAATCATTTAAAATTTTTTCAACGGCATCCTTCATGATAAACTTTTGGAGTGAGTTGAGACATTTATTTTCCATAAACAGCCTTAAATATTTGGCGATGAAGACGATGCTTCCACCTCTAGCCCCTACAAATGAACTAGCTACTATAGTATATTAATTAATTAATTTATTTATTGTAATGTAATTTTTCCTATTGACGTCAGTGTTGGCACAATCAGAAATCAATTGATATTTTTCCGCTCTCATGCGCTTACAATATCACGCGTTATATTGGAACAAAATATCATGCTTGATATTGATTTTACAAACTCCTTTGATATTGCGAGACTAT